TCTATCTATCTATCTATCTATCTATCTATCTATCTATCTATCTATCTTACATCTACATACAAAACACACAAAACAAAGCACTAGTTTTAATCATAACCTTTAATTTAACCATTAAGCATACCTGCAGTTACCTTCGTACAGGTGAACATGTGGTACTTCCTGTTTATCACTGTTGTATCCAGCTGCACATGAGGTCGGCCGCAGGGCTTTATCATCTTTTACATTTTTCCAGACTCAGTTTAGGTTTTGGAGATGGACTATATATATATATATATATATATATATATAAATCGCCACTGTTGAAAATATCAGATTTTTCATTTACAAGCAGTTCTTCTTTGGACATGGTCTTTGTTGACCTACTGTAATTTCAGTCACTTCGGCGGTTTCTGTAGGGTAAAAATAATGCATGTTAGTTGGCAGCCATTTACAAATTTTGCTTGAATTTTTTTAATGTATTTATTTATTTAGGGACACATCATCAATATAAAAAAAATAGGCAGGATTTTTTTTCCCTTTTTGATTATAGTAGATTAGTACATTTAATGTTGTTCAATACAGCAGAAAAATCAAGTTTCAACCAAAGTATATGCATGATGATGCAGAGAACTAACAAGCAGTGTTGTGATTTTTCTGCAGTGTGTACTAAACTAAACATGGTACCTGCATGTTTGTCTCAGAACAAACTGAGTTGATACCACTAGAGGGCGCAACATCCCTGCAGCATCCATCCCTCACACACATCCCTTACACAACAGGATTAGAAGCACACATAAAGATTATGAGTCACGTGTCTGTCCCTCCAAATGCTCCCTTCTCCTAACCTACTTCCCTCTTTGAGATATCCCATAATTCCACAGGAGTGGGCGTAGGCTCACGCAGCAGCAGCATCACAAAGGTTCAGCTCCTCCCTGCTGTGTGCTGGGAGGCAGAGAGGATCAGGGTCAGATGAATTCCAGTCAGGGTGACAGTGGCAGTGTGTGTAAATGAGGAGAGGAGTGTGTGTGTGTGAAACAGGAAAACTCGGGGAGGGTGGTGTGTGTGTGTGAGCTGTGTGCGAATGACAGGGAGAGGCAGACAGTAAATCCAGACAGGAGTGGACATTAGAAGAAGAGGGAGGGGAGGCAAGAAGAGGTAAAAAAAAAGGACAATTTGAAGGAACGCAGAGTGAAAAGAGAAGATGGCTGAGCCGGAACTGAAACTGAGAAGCAGCCGGGAGAGTGTCGCTAAGGATGAGGTGAGCCAGGAGAAGATGGAGGGTAAGTACAGAGCACGCTCACGCTCCTGAAAACACCACATGGTGCAGAGCTGCATTATGTGCGCTCTCATGCAACAGCAGAGTTAATGAAGTGTGCGGTGAATTCAGATGTGTGACGCTAACAGGTGACGTCCAGGTGTCGGTGGATGGAACTGAAAATGAACCGTATCAACATGTGCAGACAGACAGAAGAAGAGTTGGAACACGGTGTAATTCTTGTAAAACTTATTAATAAAAAGATCTGATTCCACATATGTTTCCACATATGACTCATGCACAGTTTTTGTGTAACAGCAAACAACATGTGCATTCTTTTTAAGTGTGTAGTTTAAATCAGATGATGTTTTCACGACCTCAGCAGGTAACTCTTTACTGCCAGCACAGTCTCATCTTGTCTCATCACCTCCCTCTGTCCTATTTAGAACTAAACCACAACCATGATATTGTTGAGCAGCAAACGTCGCCATCAGCCCCCATGGTCCCTGCCCCCTCTGCCATGAGCCCCACCAGCACTCTACCAGCCAAGGGTGAAAAGATCCAGCTCAAACGCAGCATCACCCTCTTCAACGGTGTCGGAATGATCATCGGCACCATCATTGGCTCGGGGATCTTCGTCACCCCGACGGGTGTGGTGAAGGAGACCGGCTCCGCTGGCCTCTCGCTGATCGTCTGGTCCGCCTGCGGAGTGGTGTCCACCATGGGGGCCTTGTGCTACGCTGAGCTGGGCACCACCATCGCCAAATCTGGAGGAGACTACACTTACATCCTGGAGGTGTACGGGGAACTAGCTGCCTTTTTAAAGCTGTGGGTGGAGATGCTGATCATTCGGCCGTCGTCGCAGTACGTGGTGTCGCTGGTGTTCGCCACCTACCTTCTGAAACCGCTGTACCCGAGCTGCGCCGTGCCAGACAGCGCGGCCAAGCTCATCGCCTGCCTGTGTCTTAGTGAGTAGACGGGGTTGCCATACAGAGCCGCTCCAGCAAAGTATTTTCAGTTAAAACAGCAGCAGGTGATCACTCTGAAATCTAACATCCTGTTTCTCGCAGCGTCCCTGACGTTTGTAAACTGCATCAGTGTGAGGGCAGCCACCAAGGTGCAGGACTTGTTCACAGCGTCCAAGTTGATAGCTCTGATCATCATCATCTTCTTTGGCTTCGTCCAGATTTCCACAGGTAAACGCCGAACACTCAGACCGAGAGTGCCACACGGTCAAAGATCTGAACAGTTCATTCAGTTTGTCACTGTTTGACTCTCGTGCTGCATCTCCTCAAAGATAGCTCTTTAATCCAGATTGATCACATACCAACAAATCCCAGTGGGGCCAAATCCAACAAGGATCGCTGGGACCCTAAAACAACTCCAGTCTCAAATATTTCATGGCAGATCATGCAAGCACAATTTTATAATTCTTTACATCACCATAAATGTTGCATTACGCTGTTATTTACATGGGGTTCCATTAAAATTAGCGGCAAACTTGGGGCACATCTGGCAGAGTTTTCACAATGTTTCTACTGGAATAACCGTGAATGCAAAAAAAGGAAACCTGACAGAGAAATAAAGGTTTATAAAATAACATGAAACTCTGTAAAACCTTTGAGATTAGATTGTTTTAGGGTGATGGAAATATTTTTTTTCGTCTTGGGGTACTTCTTGTAGGCATCTCACAATATTGCTCAGAATAACTGAGCGATACAAAATCTATGGCAGTGTGAAGGTTTACAAAGTAAGAATTAAACTCTTTTCCTGCAAACTGAGGTCCCAAAGTCCTAAACTATCCCTTTAATGCTTTCAGGGTCAGTAAAACCATAAAACCATTTATTTTATTTTTATTAGGAATAATTTTTAGCTTTCACCACTGCAGTTTTTATATATTATATCAACATAATGGCTACTATCACAATGTTTCTGTCTCCTTTATTCATTTAGTTACAAATACAGTACAGAGGGGCGATTTGGTTTGGCTGTAATGATCAGCCAAATGTTAATGAATGTTAACGAGGCTAATGAAGCAGGCTACTCTCCTTTCAGTTCGTTAGTGCAGTAGCTGAGTCTGAACACAAGGCCTGTCTGTCTGCAGCCGTGCGCTGGAGTTAAAGTGTGCATCCACGTGCATGTGCATCTTTGTGAATGTACACCGAGGCCGAACACTGCGGCGCATTATTTCTTTCATACAGGCCTCGTCTGCAGTGTTTATCCAAGAAAACAACTTGGAGCATAGGCCTGTTTAATAAAAATGGCACACCATGCATGTGCTCTGACTTGAATAAATCAGTGCTGTTTGCAGCAATTAATAATAATAGAAAACAAAATATCAGACATAGTCATCCCATTAAAAGTGATAACAGTATGGGAAGACAGTGTGTCCCTCTACATCTGCTCTTTTCTCTCCTCTTGCAAAGCCACACCCGCCACCATTGTGCCCTCATGCCGCGTTTCCATAGTAACGAGGTGGCAAAGCTTGGGGGCTGTCGTCACACTTTTCTCATTGAGAGCATGCGCGCAGGAGGACAGAGTGAGGAAATTATGTGTTTAATAAGATTTTAGAGACGGGAAAGTCAATATTCAGGTGGAAGGAGGAAATTCTGTGCAGACGGGGCTCACATGCTGGATTTCTACACTGATGATCAAATAAATTTCCTGTTTGAAGTGTAGAAATTAATCGATTAAAGCCTACGCATCAAACTTCTGCTTCTGCTCACATTTAAATGTCAGCTGGACTTGAGTTGTTGACGGTTTTGCACATCAGAGGCCATGCTTGGGACATGAAAATATCAGGAGACTTAAAGGGCAAGCAGCACCAGACTGGGTGCAATAAATAAGAACGAGCCAGAAATATATATTTGACAAATTCTTGCTGCATAACTCTCACATGAGCTGTTTTTGTTTCAGCTGTTTTTATTCCCTCTGTGAATGTGCAGGTGACGTGCCGTATTTGACACCTGAGAAAGCGTTCGAAGGCAGTAAAGTGGGAGTCGACAACATTGTCTTGGCGTTGTACAGTGGTCTCTTTGCGTTCGGTGGCTGGTGAGGCATGTCTTGGTTATTCTGATGTTACGGAGCATTTTATGTTAAACGCTTTTTACAGTCTTTGGAACATTCTTCTTGTTTTCCTTCAGGAATTACCTGAACTACGTTACAGAGGAGATGATCAACCCAGAGAGGTGACGTAAAAGTGATGAAGGTTGATTTAAGGATTGTGCAGACTCTCCTGTAAATATCAGTCCTACAGCATGAATGCCTGCTCATCTACCATCAAATAATTGCATGGAGATTAACCATAATAATTTAAAACATATTTGCACTTCTAGTTATGGTTTGGAATGATGAAATCTGGCATGACTGAAAACACAGACTAAACATAAAGCAGTGAATTCATGTTTTATGTTGAACTGCATGAAATTCCAAATACTTGAAGGATTTTTCTGTGAAATGCATACTGAGTGATGACAATGGAACAGTTGTTAAAGCGAATAGAAGCAGAATATGAGCTAAAAGCTGAAAAAAGCTAAATGTGAGCTAAAAGCTAAAAGGAGAAACAAAACACTAGCTAACAGCAGCAAAAGCAAGCTAACAACTAAAATTAGCAGAATGCTAGCAAAACTAGCAAACAAAACTAGAAGAAGCTTTTACAGAGTTGTTAAAGATAAAAGAAGCAGAATATGAGCTAGAAGCTAAAAGTGTCAAAAGGCTACCTACAAACTAAGAGTACCACAAAGGTAACTAAAGTATCTAAAGGTAGATAAAAGCATCAAAAGGATACATAGAAGCTAAAAGTATCAAAGGGTTAGCTAAGTTAAGACTTACAGAAGTAACTAATAGCTTAAAGTAGTGAAAGATAACTTTAAGTAACAAAATAAGTAACTAAATGCTAAAGTAGCAAAAGGACTGCTAAGAAATAGTTGTAACAAAAAGCTAAAAGTAGTAATACACTAGCTAAAATAAAAAAAGACTAGCTAAAATCTAAAAATAGCTAATCTGCAAAAAATAAAACATAGTTAGAAGCTAAAACTAGCAGAAGGCTAACAACAAATTAAAAGTAGCAGAGCAGTAGCTAAAAGCAGCAAAAAGCCAGATAAAGGTTGAAAAAGTCTAGCTAAAACAGCTAGAAGCTAAACGTAGCATTGGAAGACTTCAAGTTTGCTGAAGCAGATTACAGCTCATTGTGTTTTGATGAGTGAAATATTTGTAAACGAAATTAAATATTATGATAAAGCTTAAAGTTAAATATAAAAAACATAAGTTAGAGCATACATCTCCTGAATGAGCACATTTCTTTAATATACGTATGTATGAATGGTTAAAATAACACAAAGTATGAAGGAGTACTTAGATTGCAAAATGAAAACAAGACAACAAATGTATGAAAATTAAATCAGTGTTCACATAGTTATTGCTATAAGATCAAAGTTTACTATGACATAGAAATGACAGTGCTGCGATGCTGTTTTAATTCTAATTTTCAGAGTGTTTATCTCTCTTTCCACTCACAGGAACTTGCCCTTGTCCATCATCATATCGATGCCTATAGTGACGGTGGTGTACGTTCTGACCAACCTGGCTTATTTCACCACCATCTCTCCTCAGGTCATGATTGAGTCTGAGGCTGTTGCTGTGGTGAGCACAAGTTCAGAGAATAATAATCCTAACCTTTTTATTATGAAAGTTGTTTGATTTTCTCAGACGTCTCCCATATTTTGCAGAGTTTTGGGGAGTACCATCTTGGAGTGATGGCCTGGTTGATTCCTGTCTTTGTGGGGCTATCCTGTTTTGGAGCCGTCAACGGATCTCTTTTCACTTCAGCACGGTGAGAGGAGCACAACGTTCATATCATTTCGTGCTGGGTTCTGAAACATGAGGCTGTTGTTGGGGAGTGAATATCACAGTTAAATATTTTGGTGAAAAATAATTTCTTCTTCATTTAGATTGTTCTATGCAGGAGCCCGAGAAGGTCAGCTCCCTGCTGCTCTGGGGCTGGTCCACACAGACCTGTTCACACCTGTACCATCCCTGATCTTCACAGTAAGGCTCCTCTGCTTTTACACTGATCTGATGAAGACAGTTTCTTCATATCGCCCGCTGCCGAAAGGCTTTTGCTCGTGTCTCTGTGTTTTGGGCAGGGGCGATTTTAGGGGTACTTAGCCCCAGTGCGGACAATGGCTCTTGGCTTAAACAACGTGGTGGCCAATGGTGTCAGAAGCATTCATAATGTGTGTGGGGCACACCCTGGTGGGACTGTCTGGGGGTCCTCCCCCAGAAAATTTTGAATAAAGTAGATGCCATTTCCTGCATTCTGGTGTATTTTAACAGGATTTTAAACATCTACATTTACCTACATAAGTAAACACTTGATTCAGTAACTATTTTAGAGAGCACGGCACAACAAGAAGTAGCGCTAAGCTAGTGGCGTGCAATACAGACATGCTAGCTAAGATGCTACAGACATAGCACTCTGCTTGACATTACACAACCTAATAAACGCTTTGTACAAAATCAGTTTAGTGTTAACTGATCATAACAAATAAAGACTAAGCTTATACAACCAGAAGTTACAACATATATCTACACACAAAACAAAGCACAACTAGTGTTGATCATAACCTTTAATTTAACCATTAACCATACATGCAGTTACCTTCATACAGGTGAGCATGTGGTACTTCCTGTTTATCATTGTTGTATTCAGCTGCTCATGATGTCATCTTTTACAATTTTCCAGTCTCTGTTTAGGTTTTGGAAATGGAATAAACTGTCTTCCAGCCACTAAAGCAGGACTATTCAACTAAACTGCTCACAATTGGATGTAACAGCTAAACACACATGTAGCTATGTTCAAGAAATACTAGAACTTTATTTATTTATATTGTATTTTCATTATTGTGTCAAGTTACTCCAAAAACTCAAGAGTACAAGTAAAGGTAGTGATTTAAGTGTCTTTCAGTTAACACATGTCAACTTAAAAAACAGCATACATGTATGTATTTGTGTCAAAAACTAAATCCAGTTTTGTTTTCTTTTATTAGTGTTTGCTGTCCATGATGTATTCCATCTCCCAGGACATCTTCTCTGTCATCAACCTGTTCAGTTTTTTCACCTGGCTGTGTGTCGGTATGGCCATCGCTGGCTTGGTTTGGCTGCGCATCACCAAGCCAGACCTCAGAAGACCTATAAAGGTAAAGTCTTGAACTTAACTTCCTGACTACCAGGAAAATAGATATTGTCCATGTCCATTATTGTATTATTCATGAGGAAGAGAAAGGTACCAAAGCACACCTCTTCACATTTGGTATTATTGAAAAGCCTTATAGCAAATGGAGTTACACAGTAGTACGTTGTGGGTGGGAGATATTCAGGTTTACAAATGTCCTCCAAGGAGGACAAATTTGAACTGCAGGTAGTCACCGGTGGGTTAACGTTTGTAAAACTGGTCTTTCTTTTGTTTTAGAGTGTGACGCTCACTAAATGGTGACCTGACTCTACCTGAATCTCAGAAATTTTCATTGTTTCCTTGAAACTGTCATCATGTCTACAGGTTACATTAAAAATCCACTATTTCCATTTAAGAAAACAAACAAACAAAAAAAAAAAACGAAAGCACTATTGTATCACTGCTCTTGTTAGGAAGTGGAGCCACACTGTTTCTGTGAGAGGAGGGAGTACTGTTTGATTGAGTCCACAGTTCTTTGTCTCCCTTTCATCGTGGGAATATTACCTGGTTCAACTTTCATCTCTCCTTTGTCTCGGAGTGTTTTCAGCCCACTTGTTCTTAAAGACAAACTACGAACAAAGGATGAACAGATCACTTATTTATATGTAAATCATGGATAAAACAAAAACTTTCAGCTTGTTAGTGTCTAGAATCAGAGTTTCTGTAAGGACAAAGGGAATCATTTTATCCATTTGTGATGCTGAGCTATTTTCAAAATCTGTGCTTTTGTAAAACAATAAATGTGTTAAAACGTGTCAATAATCTGCTGTATTAGGTTGCTATAGCTTAGATTTTCTGGTAACAGAGATTGGATTAATTTAGGGTATTTAACTTTGCATGAATAGAAAGTATTTAAACATAAAATGAAAGAAAAGTCTCAAAACTCTATTTAACATTGGCCATTTTATTGAAACTAGCTGACAACAGTTTTGTTCTTTAGCTGTGGTTCACATTTGAACAAACAGCCAGTGCTTCCATTTTTCTTCTGCAGGTGTATCTTTTTATCCCCATAACGTTTGTGTTGGGCTGCGTCTTCATGATTGTCGTGTCGTTTTGGGCCGCTCCGTTTGAGTGTCTGGTCGGCAGCAGCATTATACTCACGGGCATTCCTGCGTATCTGCTGGGCTACAAGTGGAAAAAGCCCCATATGGTCCAGAAGATGCTGGGTGAGTGAAGAGCTGGGTCTGTTTGCTCAGACAAGGCTTAAACGTCATGTCAGCCTGTTACATTTTATTAGTTCTTAATAGCTACTGGTGCGAAGGCTTGATCTGTCGATGCAACATTTATTTTACTTTATCAACATAAATCAGCTTATAAGATGAGTTGTTTCTTCTCAGAAATCTTCACAATGTTCTGTCAGAAGATCTTCATGTCTGTTCCTGAGGAGAAGGAGCCAAACAAGGCGGCCGAGTAACACCGTGATCCCGTTTGTGGCATTTCTTCAATGTTTACATTCATTTCTTTGCAGTTCAGCTACAATATTTTTCTTTTGTCGTTTTCTTCCTGAAACGAGTTGGCAGTCGTTCCTCTTTGAACGCTGGTTTTACAATAGAGCGTCTTTTACTGTAAACTGGAAATGGGCGCACAATTATTTATAAACTACAAACACAAAATGCGTTTGCACATGTTGCTGTCCACTGACCAGCAGGTTTGTTTTTTTACAAATTTGAACGAGCAGTTCAATGAGAAAAGAAAAGACAGTCTAGAAAGTCTTTACTTTTTATAGAACTAACAATAAAAGTACACATTTAGTTTACAGTTCTTTCAAATGTGAACGTTAGCACCCTGCGAGGAATGACCCAATTCTGAAAAAGTTGTTTAAAATGTAAATAAAAACAGAATGCAATGATTAGAGCAGAGTTTTGTTGCCCGTTTCCACATTTCATAGATTCAATTCAGTTCAGTTTATTTATAAAGCGCCAAGTCCCAACAGAAGTCATCGCAGGGCACTGAACAGAAACATTCACATACATCATAAATGCCATTTAGTAAAGTTATTTATCTAAGGAAGGAAGGAAGCCAGCATATACGTTGAGTCTTCATTTCATCACAAGTCTCCCATCATGAGCTAGCACAAAGGTAACAGTGGAAAGGAAAAACTCCCTCATGAGGAAGAAACCTCCAGAAGATCCAGGCTCAGGACAAGCAGCCATCTGCTTCGACTGGCTGGGTTTGAGAGGAACAGGAAGAAGAAACAGACACAGAATGGCAGGTCAAGAATGGAGGTGAGCAGGTCCTCACTAAGAGGAAAGATAAAGAAAAAAAACACATGTTAAGATAAACAATTACAAATGAAAATTATACATTTGTATTCATTAGTAACTATTCATTTGATGAAGTGAGGTCAGTTTGTCATCCAGTAGTCTAAGCCTATAGCAGCATAAATAAGGGATAGCTCAGGAAGCTCAAGTTGACCCTAACTATAGAATTTATCAAAAAGGAAAGACTTGAGACTAGTTTTAAAAGTGGACAAGGTGTCATCCACCCGAACAGAAACTGGTTTCACAAGAGAGGAGCCTGATAACTGAAAGATCTTCCTCCCATTCTCCTTTTGGAAACTCTAGGAACCACAAGTAAACCTTCAGTCTGAGAGTGAAGTGCTCTGTTGGGAATGTGATACTTTGTTAGGAATTAGATGTGTTGCTGCCATCAAATTCAAATTTTCCCTAAAATTGTGAATTTCCTAGTTTATGCATACACTGTGTTTATTATTTTCCATTGTATATGCAATATGGGCTTATGCATCACATTCTGTTTTTATTTTTAAACATCCTTTTTTAGAATTAGAGGTTATAAACCAAGGGTGTATCTGCACTTACTAATGTAATCATACATGGCCTGATAGTGTATAAAAGTCAGTGTTTGAATAAGAAAGTATAACACTAGTATAGCTGCTGACTTCATTATACCTCGCTAACATCAGTGTTTATTAAATCAAAAAGCTTTTTTAAAAATCCTTTCTAGTGAAAGCACTCATCTTGGAGCACAGTTTAAAGTAAGATAAAACAGTGTTTGCAACGTCTTCTTTAGATGTGCTACAGTCAAGCAGGTCCACCATTTTATTGTAACGTTTTTTTTTTTTGTTCGGTATGTTTTGAAACATTGATGGAAACCAAAATGTCCGACTTAAAGACCTGCTTGCACCCATCACTGTAGTGGTTGTACTAGTGTTTGTAGTGAAAGTATTTGTTGTCTGTGCCAGCCTTGTCAGTGCTGATATTTTATATTTTTTAAAGTCACTCTCAGACCAAAAAGAATGTTGAATGTTTCGAGTCGCAGGCCCCCAAACCTTAAATAAAGTAGTCCCTGAGAAAATGAAACTTCTGATCTGCTGGCGTGTGTGTTGCCGTCCCCCTGTTTTTGCTGAAAGAAGTCAGCTGGGAAAAAGCAAACTCTGAACCTGAATACCGCATTTTTCGGACTATAAGGCGCACTGGATTATAAGGTGCATTAAGCAAAACTAAAACATTTTGACAGATTTTTGAGCACCGTGTACCACATAAAATTGGATGAGGTCAGTAAGCACAACCAGAATTAATACATAAGGCACACTGGAGTATAAGGCTCACTGTTGATTTTTGAGAAAATTAAAGCATTTTAAGTGCACCTTATAGGCTGAAAAATATGGTAGTGAAACATGATGGGTGAACACATGATCCCGTGAAGTACGTGCTGCTTCTCATGTTTTTACAAAGTTCAGAAAATTGCTTAAACAGCAAAATGAATGAAGCCTATTTAAAAATATATACTTCAATCTTTATTATTTACTCTTGTAGCAACATTTATCTTGTTACAAAAGATTAAATACATATTTTTAAACTTTTAAAGCACCTTTGACGTAAACTTACGAGAAAGCACCTTTTTAATCGATGAATTGCCACTAAAGCACCTAACCTAGCTTTATAAATAAATAAATACATAAATAAAACTGGGAAACAACTTTAATTTTCTGAGATTTTGTGATGAATTCCTTCTGATGAGACATAAGCACACCAATAAACAGCACAATTATTGAGGACAGATGTATGTTTACTGATTGTAGTAAATCTGAATAAATAGGAAACAGCGTTTATCTTAAACACAGACTCAAATAAAGACAAATGCTTATTGCAGGTCTCATTGTGCACAAATACTGTATCTGTGTAAGTACAGACTATAAGTGTATGTATGAATAAATCAAGAAAAAAAGATTTTTCCAGGTGAAATGTGACAAAAACAAAAGACTTGTATTTTATTCCCCAAACAGAATATCTAATAACTGTTGTATCTCAGTGACCATGGCAGGTACATGTAACAATAAAAAAGTATTTTCTTCAAAGTTTGATTGTTTGTATTTTGTGAAACAGACTAACACCAGAGAAGATTAAATAAAATATTACATAACTACTGAACAAATGCAGAGCCCAAACATATTAGTCTCGGTTAACAAAAGGCCCGACGCTGCCACCCTGCAGATAACAGTTTCAAACAGAACAAGCAATCCAAAAACACAAGATAGCTTTGATCCAAATGAGGATATCACAAGGCCAATTTTCTCCAAACGCAGTCTAGCAGCTTTTATCTCCTGAGCCATCGAGTGTTTGGGTAGTGATGTGTATGAAAAGCTCATCTCCTTTCTTGTTTGTCTTGAGTTGTTTGTTGGCTGTCGGACAATGATGCCACAGAAACCTGGACTGTTGGGGGAGATCATATCTGTTTGAGGAGGAAATGAAAGCCTCTGATGGCTGCTGATGGAAGACGAATCAAAGCTGCAGGACACAATATTAGTGATGGGAGATTGGCCAGGCAAGGCCTTAATAACGAACAATAATATTATATGAGACAAGTATATTTTGACAGGATGCATTATTGTAACATGATTATACACAGAAGTATGGTTAGGTGCATTTTTGGGGATGTTCCATTGTATATTTACCAGATTTGGCAGCAGGTTTATTTTTTACAAAGGAAATTAGGCAGCACTAGTAAACCGCTTTCCTATCACATACGCACAGGAACAGATTCAAAACTTAAACTACATAAAACGACATAAAAGGTAAATAATTTGATAAACCAAACTCATTTTGAGTATTATATGTCACCAGCAGATGGCGATAGAGGCACACAAATGCAGCGCTGCAACACAGTAAAGTTATCCACTCGTTTATTAATGCTCTAAAAACAACTTTCTATGCTGAAATGATAAAACACAGGAAGAAATGTTTTTTTATTTTGTTTGAAGCAGTTTATGTATTTAAGGTTAAGTAAATAAGTAATTTAGGCTTTAAATCTATTTTACATATGAAATAATTTTAAAATATATATATTAAGCTGTAGTCTCATGAGAATTTTCAGCCTTTTTTAGCCCAAGTATGATTTTTCTTTATTATGTAAGCAGGACACTTTTATTACAAATAAAACTCCTCCTGAGCATTCTCACAAATCGACTCCAGGGGGCAGTGCATTACCAGGGTCCATTGTGTGTGTGTGTGTGTGTGTGTGTGTGCCTTTGCATTGTTACATTGTAAGGCCCATTTTCCAACACATAACTGCATTGTGAGGACCAACCGCTCCTTATGGAGCCCAAAGCCCGAGACCCATAAGAAGAAGTGCTGTTGGTGAATTAGGGCTTAGGTTTAGGACTGAGGTGTGAATTGAGGATGGGTTAGGGTTAGATTTGCACTGGTAATGGTTAGGTTTAGGGTAAGGTCAGGGTTAGGCTATAGAAATGAATGGAAGTCAATGCAAAGTCTCCGTAAAGATAGAAAGACAAACGTGTGTGTGTGTGTGTGTGTTGGGGGTGATATGAGGGGGAGGGATGATAGATTCCATTTCTATTCTACCTTTAATCCAACTGTGAAATTCAAATATAAAAAGCCAGTTGCTTTTTTTCTCTTCGTCTTCTTTCCAGGGTAGTTTTCTGAAAAGCTCTGCACTGCATCAGCGACTCAAGAGTTTCATCATCACATATACCTTTAACCGAAAAAAAATAAAATAAAATAAAACACGACGAGAGGGCAGAAATATGTTGCTTGATAAACTATATTGATCTAGTCTGGATTGGGACGGGGGCTTGTGAAAAGGTCAAAGTGCATTTAAACACTTCAACTAATGAGCCATGTGAGCGCTGTTACATTAAGTTCTGCAACATCAAAGATGATCCTCCTAATTAACCTCAGAATCATGCAGGGTGGGGCTGGAGTGGGGGCAAAGCTATGTTTGTGAGCTACCATGCGCCGCTCATCGTTAAACTAATGAATATTTTGAGGATGTAATAACGTTAGGTGATGGAAACAGGAGGAGACATAACATTTTTTCCACTTTAAACATTTTATTACAGACAAAAGAAAACAAAAAGAGGGATTTGTGACACAAAAAATGAATCTAATGCAGGTACACATATGTGAGAAATGCACCAACAACAATCTCTGAAAATATTTATTATCCTAAAAATATTGTTGTTGGATCAATAATAATAATAATAATATTAATAATAATAATAATAATAATAATGAACCCTGATGAAAAAAGCCAAAATGTTTACTTCATATCATTTATAAATAGATTTGAAACCTGCAATCAAATTAAATAGAAAGACCAAATTGTAAACTATAATATGCAACAGAACAAAACGAGTTTTCTCGTCACTGGTTTCTACAAATCAAAGGAGTACATTTGGCAGGTTTATACACAAAATTAAAATATTTACCCCAATGACTTTTCTTATGAAATGCAAATCCTGCCACAGTGAAAAGAAAATCTAAACATAAAGGTAATTTTATTTCCACAAAAAAAGATAAAGATGGAGTTCAACACAATTCTAAAACACCTAATAAAACTAGTCAAAAAACCTTAAAATCCACTGTTATGTTTTTTTTTCTTTAATAACATTTCACATTTAGCAATTTTTTTAATTCTCCTGTACAAGTGACGTGAGACTAAGAGATGGAGGGTGGGGTCAAAGGTAGGGAGGTGGTCCTTATTGACCAAAAGTAGGAGGAGCAAAAAAGGGGCGGTTCTAATCATTGACCCCCCCACAGTTCAGCCATGCCCTGAGGCTGTGTAAAGAGGGTGACCCGTCCATCAGAGCTCTGCCAGCTCAGGAGGAAATAAAAGCAGTCTTTTGTGTTTCCCCCAGACTCCAAGATACAAGAACACAGTTTCACCATGAGTTTTAGTGTGTGTATTCCCTCACTGAATCTGTCTGCACAGAAGTCACAAAACCAAACAAAAAGGATATTAAAAAAGCAAGGGACTGCAGCTTAATACACACATAAGAGGGATTCATTTTGGTGATATTTACAATCACTCAGTGATAAAGGAATTGAGGGAGTCCTTTACTAAGAGAAAAGATGATTTACAAATGTTTTACGTGTCTGCGACTACACCTTTATGAAAATGTTTCACTCAGTCAGGGTATTTTAGACCGTCCTGAAGCCTGTCCACCACTGATCAGGTGATTTTCTGTTGATTTCCCTACTTAAACCCTTATGCTTTGAGCATTTCATCTCCCTAATAAGGGCAGTTCATGGCAAAGAGTCATGAAGTGAAAAGGAAAGAAATCTTCTTTAAAAAATAAGAAATAATTTGAGAGGACATTTTGGTCCTTATACTTCCAGTATGTTGGCATGAGCTTAAAGCTCACTACCAGCTCAGAAAACTGTTCACTGACGAGGAGGAAAGGAAAAAAGAATGCAAAGGAAGTGCCTCGGGCTTGTGGCCAATTTAAGTGCTTGGCAAAAAGGTGAAGTTACTGTAGCAGTCTTTGGGATTTTCAAAATCCATAAAAAAAGAATAAAGGATAGAAAACAAAACGGTGTGAAAGTGGATACATCGATGAAGCTGTTGTTATGTTAGAAAGCTTTCTGGAGTTTGACATGTGGAGGTCATTTAACTTCAAGTGAGGTAGAGAGGCTTGTCCCGAGCTCCCATTCCGCTGCTGAAAAAAAAAAAAAAACAGGAAAAACACAAGAACTTTATTAATATTTAACATTTTACATGCAAATAAATTAATAATATCGCTAAAAAATCCTCCATTTTACAGTATATTTCACAAGGGAAATCATTTCCACTAAAAACCTGGTTTAAGCAAAACAAGCATAAAAGCTGTCAACAAGCAACCAAGATCAATAAACACGAGTTCAACTTTTGCAGATCAGTTGGTATTTAAAATGTCAGATTTTGAAGTCATTTTTATTTATTTATTTTCCCTTACTGCATTTATCTTTAGTGACAAACTGGAAATAATCCAGCACCTTCCAAAAGTCCAAACTAAGACGATCTGACACCCAGAGTGAAGGTTTAAAGCAAAGACTCAATCATCTTCAGAGCGTCAAACACGATTTGACCCAGGCATGATCCCATTTGGCATACAGATGAATCAGCTTCAAATCCAGGAGACACATAACTTCTTGCTCAGCTGCCTCTCTAAGCAGAATTTCAGGTGGGAGACCAAACATCCGTCTGGCGCTCGTCTGAATACCTTTAATAATATCCAGTAAGGTGATGAATAAAGAGTGAAACACCAAAACTTAATTGGATGTCAACACTTTTATTCCCAGCATTGTAATAGCTTTGTTCTTGTGCTGCATTACTCATTTCATTTTCAAGAGATACATTGCTTTAGCAGGTAAATTGCTCTTTATGATTAATACTGTCTGAGTCTCCAAGTGTGAAGAGAAGTGCTTTGGAGTAACTCGCTTGGAAACGATTAACTGTGACACAACTACTCAGCATTCTCAACAACCTAACATCCTGAGCTGCACTAAAAAGGGTCAGGACATTTTATTTTTTCAATTAAAAAAAGGGGGCGTTTATGGTGAGTTTTGAGTTTACCTGCAGTGGTTGGGTCCACAGTCCCTGTTGCAGTATTCACCTTCCCAGTCGGGGTTCTGTCCGTGCACTGGATTGGGTGCCCCTGGAGACTGCGAGCCCCCGACGCTGTTCTGGTAATCAGCCTGAAGATGGGAGAATCCCTGCAGTTGGGAGGACAGAAGAAAAAGAGTATATCATCCAAGCTTTGCTTTGAAATGGTCAGCTATCGTGGTGTGCTGAGCTGTGATTCGACATGAGGTCAAACGATGTCAGCGCTCTGTATCAGTGGCTCCGAGAGAGGAAAATAGCAGCTTTTCTCTCTGTATTTGCCCTTTTTGCTTGGTTAAAATCACTCTAAAAAAAATCACACTTTATTCTGACATGAAACCCTGCTGCTGGATTAGAAATTTTAGTAATAGAGGAAATAAAAACTAAACATTTTTATCACTATATGAGCAACATTTTGTGTTAAATGAGTGATTTACATCAGTAAAACTGGATCATGGCATGCTACTGTTGCTTTTAGGTAACATAAATGTTTATGTCAGACTATTGTCAAGTAATTACAGGTGATTGTTATATTTTTATCACAATTTCAATACATGTAAAAAATGTAATCTCTTTCTGTAATTCGTAATTTTTTCCACCAACCTGTTGGCTGAGAGGAGGGGAATTCAGAGATGCCTGGAGCCCCATTTGGTGTGAGATAATTGGCTGCGGCTGCTGCATGCGGATTGGCTGGTTGAGCAGGGAGCTCTGGTGCAGAGAGAGCTGAGCGTGCGGGTGCAGAGGCGGGCTGATCTGGAAGGGTGCTGGGGGAGAGGCACTCATGCTGGGTGGGAGCATCTGGGACTGGCCAAGGGTTGAGGCCAGGGTGTGGCGGGGCGGCCCGCCATAGCTCTGGAGCTCCGAAAGAGGGAAAGAGCCCGGTGGGCCCAGGTAAGGTGAAGAAGGCTGGGGGGGCACACTGTACAGGGGCTGTTTGGGGGGCAGCAAGTGGGAGGGCTGGCTGGTCTGCTGGGCACTTTTTGGTTCAGAGTCACTGTATGACTGTGGATAAAAAAATACATTATTTTACTAAGAGAAAAGTTTAAATATGAACACATTAAAGAGGTAAACTGTAATCATGATGGCAGTTTGTTGCTTATTTATTAGACAAAAAATGTTTTAAATTCTATTATTTTACAAAAACAAAATTTCCAAGATATATTATTTTCTTATACAACTTTTGCAAGAAACCTTGGTTCCACATATTTGCTGTGTATCATACACTAAAAATGATTGCAAAAGAGTTCATTACAGTAGTCCCTTGTTTATTGTGGGGATCCGTACCCTGAAGCCCCACGATAAGTGAAAAACCACACAGTAGGAATAGTAGTACAAGTAGTAAGTAGTAGTTTTTTTTAGTATATAATGTTTCTAAAGTCTAAATGCTCTAAAAGAGCACATGTCATGAAATCAGCTCTCTGCCTCCTGCTGCTCTCTGCCACCTGTCAGTGCTCTCGCCATGCCCACTTCTCTGCTGCAGAGCAAAGATACCACACATTGCAGGAGGGAGCTTCTCCCTGCACGTCAGCTGCACACAGTACAGCAGGTGCTAAATACTTTAAAATACAGTAGTCCCTCGCTACTTCGCGGTTCATTTATTGCGGACTCGCTCTATCGCAGCTTTTCAAAATAAGATTGGACATGACACGCAATTGGCTAATTAATGGATGAGATGCACGATCGACATAGAATTTTTATTTAAAATAAATTATTTGAAATTATTTAGCACCTGCTGCACATTTGTGCAGCCCAGAGCTGTAGAAAACGCTTCCTCCTGCACCTTTGTGCAGCCCATACTGCAGGATGAACTTATTGATGCAGCTGTTCAGCTATTCTCCATGCAGAGTAGAGAAGTGGGCGTGGCCAAGAGTGCTTGCAGATGGCAAAGAGCGGAGGAGGCAGGGAGCTAAAATCATGACATGCTGTGCTCTTTTAATGCTTTAGAGTTTAGAAGCATTGCTTAGAATATTGCGAGTGTTGGGAAGGGTTTTAAATGCCTTTACACACACACATATATACATATATACATACATACATACATACATACATATATATATATATATATATATATATATATATATACATACATACATACATACATACATACATACATACATACATACATACATACATACATACATACATACATACATACATACATACATACATACATATATATATATATATATACATACATACTAAAATAAACTACTATTTACTACTTGTATTACTATTCCTACTTGGCGGTTTTTCACTTATCGCAGAGCTTCAGGGTACAGATCCCCCACGATAAACAAGGGACTACTGTAATTTATTTTAAATAAAAATTCCATGCCGATCATGCATCTCATCCATTAATTAGCCATTTGTGTGTCATGTCCAATCTTAATTTGAAAAACCGCGTTAGAGTGAGTCAGCAAAAAATGAACCACAAAGTAGCGAGGGACTACTGTAATACACAGCTTTAAATGGCTTATTGGATTTTTTTTACACAAAATATGCTTTAAACTTAGCTTCACATAGCTAAGACAAATATAAATGGCACAAGTCTGAATCACAGGTTGGTCAGTTATCCATAGAAACAACTTTTGCAACATCAGACGCCTTCACAGTCTTGATAACACTTATCTCACCACAAAGATTCAGTTGAAAACATTCATCCAGCACCTAAAGCTCCCTGACGCAAAACCAATTAAACAAAACCAGAAGTGCTGAAGTCCCAACCTCTGTGTTTGTTTGCTTATTTGTTTGTTTGGTTTTCTTGTTGAGCTATCCCATGAACCAATGAATGGATTTTAATGAAAATTAGAAAAAGTAATTTGATGTAAAAATAGTTGAAAGTTGTCTCAAAATGTTTGTTTTATATCTTTAAAGTTTGTCTTTAACTATTGGAGTCAACTCTGTCTGTCTGCTAGCAAAAAAATCTCATGCACTACAGGACAAACTTTAATGAAACTTTCAGAAAGTTATTTTCATTTAAAATGGATTAACTTGTAGAGTCATCCCAGTTCAAGATGGCTACAGCCAGCTTACCTAAAGAAACAATAATGGCTGTAACTCCGTCAACTTTTCAGATATTGAGCTAAAATTTGATGTGGTAGTAGTTGAGCATCATCCCCATCACATACTCCAAGCACCACACATTGCCTGCGGAGCTTTGTGCAAAGCTTTGACTAATGCTTGGCACGATTCCTGTTTGTTAGCAAAAGCTCCTATGAACCATTTTAATGAAACTGAGTTATTACTGGATGCACAATTAAAACTGATGTTTTGGATTCACATCAATTCAAAATGGCTTTTACTCTGTTACTTCTCATCAAAGCATGATCTTAGTTTAAAACTAGGATAAAAGGTGGCAGGTGGTGTGCATTCTTCCATGAGTGTTAAACTTTGACTTGTGTTCTGTGATGCTTGGATGAGTTAGTTATTCAGGTAGAGTAAATTCAGGTGGTTTTATTGGTGTGTGCTTAGATACAATTTTTGTTCTTACTAATACTTAGATTAGAAAACTGACAAAAACAAGGCATGTCCTAACTTTTCTAGAATATTTATTGACAACACATTAGAGGAGGTTGGTGTTATTTAACACAAAAAAGTTGTTAATCAATCTGCTTTTATAGTATTTCTAGACTGAGGAAATTATTGACATTTTTTCCTACTAAATGTTTACTGAGCATGGTGGTGAGTAAAATGATGATCAATAATTACAATGAGTCCAACAAAGGAATAAAAGTAGAATGAAACATGCAGTGATCATCCTGCTCCAGTACTGTTTGCACCTTTAGGCTCTTTATGTCCAGACAGAGTTCAGTAAGAATTTAGTACATGTTCACATAGAGAGACTGGCAGATGGAGAAACAAGTTAAAGATTGAAATCAGCTGCATTACTTCATAGGAAAACACAAAAGTCTTCAAAATCCTGCAGCCTTGACCTTTATGTTTTCAGGACAGTGAGCAGGTGCAACACCCCACACCTCACTCCCACCCCCGTCCTCCCCAGGCCTCTGTGATGAGCTGTCAGATTGCTCATCTCCAGCCATCAGTGTTGATTAGAAGGTAATGGAGCCCATTTGTATGAATAGAGCTAGGGCCGAGGTAATGATCAATAGACACCTTGACAGATAGATGGGAAAGGGAGAGGAGCACACACAGCCTTGCAGGCACACACTTACATACATGCACACATACAAATATGCAGGACCTTAGGCAGAGAAATGAGACTGTTTGCCTGCAGAACAAATGGAATGACAAAAGGAATCTTCCCAACACTATGTTGCGTGCTGTTAATACAAGTCGGCACTAAACAATGCAATCCTCTGCCTTCTTCCTTGCTTTTTTTATCCCTAGTGCTACAGTGCTGGTGAACACCAGACACCATCATTCACTGGCTACAAAGTACGTCATATATCTGAATTAGCAGCAAAGTGTCAAAGTTAGAAACAGAAGCAATCCAATGATTTCCTACGTTGTTTTGTGATGTATTCCCTAGATGGTGAACGAAGGAAATCAATAATAATGCACGACAAAAGATGAGTTCACGATTTTTGTTTTTTACTCACTACATTTAATAAATTCACCTAAAGAGATAGTTCAGATCTTTAGCGGGATTCTGTGAAAAGGTAATGAACTTTGAATATCTTATCTGCTGCAGATGGTTCTTTAAACATTTTTATTAAAGGAGATTCTGACTGGACTGATGACCCAACAGCTAATTGACGTGCAGACAAGACCAAAGTAAATTGTTGCTGTTTAATAAAAAACAAGCTCAACATTTCTAATTGGTTCACATGAACAATATTTTATAAACTTGTACAATATTGTTAGTTTTGCTTTAGGTGATTACTATGTGAATAAAAAGCTACTGTTTGACCGTTTATCTGAACTTTGGAACTTTCTGGAGTGTTTATGGACAACCCACCGCCTTTGTCGACCTCTATGCATAAATGTATTATGATGTCATTGTATGTTGCAGCTTTACAGGTATGTTGCGAGGTCTTTTTTTTTGTTGCATCTTTTATACTGTTTCCCGGCCAGGGCATGGTGTGAAACATGCTTTTTTTTTTGCTTCTTCCACCCTCGTGTTCTCTTTTTCTCATCTGCCTGTATGTTGTATGTAACAGGTCTCTCTTGTAAACGAGTCTGAGGCTCAATGGGAACTAACCTGTATAAATAAAAGTCTAATAATAATGTAGTTAATTTTTTTTTTTTACATTTTTGGCATCTGACCACATCAACATATTTTTGTCATATTGTATTTTAACCATTCAGATATTAACGTTGCTAACCTTTTAAAGTTATAAAATATGAAAAAAGTTGAATTTTTTTAGTTTTAATTAAAATTAATGCATTTTTTATTTTATTTTAGCTTATTTAATCTTTTATGTGTTTTTTGTCAATTTTATCTTTGCGGTACTATTTAGCTCATTTTAGCTTTAAGTCACTGTTTTCATAATCTAGCTTTTAGCTACTATTGTGCTAATTTTAGCCTAAGCTAATGTTTTAATGGGTTTAGCTTTTAACTACTGGTGCTGTTTTAATGGCTTTATCCTTCAGCTGCAGTTCAGCAAATTTTAGCTTTTAGCTACAGTTTTGTTCATTAGATTTTTTTTGGTTGCTTGTATATTTTAGCTTTTTATTATTTTTATTTTTTTGTTAAAATTATTTTCCAGTTTCTTCAATGCATTTTGTAGAGTCAAACCATCAGCAACCACTTTGTATTTTCACAGAAAATGCATACTTATCTATTTAACATTGACTTTATTCATTGTTTTTTTATGTGCAAATAGCAGTAGCAGCTAGCACAAATGCATTCAGGACATATTCAGCAGGAATATAATGTTTTCTACTGGAATGACAATGTACTGTAGAACTGGCTGTCATGTGAAGATTTTAAAAATACAATTTGCAACCTTTATGAAACTTTAAACTGTATTAAAATGGAAATTATCTACTTTAGTCCAACCCTGCTTAGACTAGCCTTAAGCCTTCATCAGTTTGGTAGTTTGGTCAGAACTGATTATTATTTTTTCAAACTAAGGTCATTCAAAGAGGTATTAATTGTTCATCACATTTCCACAGAACCCCAAATCAAAAGATCTGCTCTATTCCTTTCAAGGCACATGAAAGAACAATTATTTTCTATACACAATTGCTCTCAATGGGTGACCCCATCCCCCAACCAGATACTGTAACATCATGTGTTACAATTGGCAAACCCCATTTGCATTCTATGGAAATCAGGTATTGCTCCAAATATATTCTTCTCTTTTTGCATAAAAAGCCCCACCCCCCCCCCCCAAAAAAAAAAAAACCCCTCTTCAATACCCACCACAGTCTCATCCAAGGGAGAATACCCCCACCCCACCCCACCCCATCCCATTAGCAATGATTTTCCATCCAATCCATCATCACTGTTATCCAGGGTCTGTGTGTCATGAGCGTTACCTTGGAAACCAGACTGGCTCGGTACGCGGCCAATGCTTTTAGGTACTCTTTCTTGGCTGCCTCGGTTTTCCTCTTGTATGCCTGTGAAGAAAAACAACAACAATCAAAACAAGGGACTTCAGATGAGAGAGGAGGTTGACATGGTCACAAATGTGCAGACACACTGGTCTCAATACACACACACGCTCCCACACAAGCTTTCTTAGTTCACCAAGGCACATGCTGCACACAAACATGTCCGTAATAGTTCCCTTTCCATCAGAGCCAATGGTACAGAACACCTCTATTTCCTCATCATGACACTAATACTCCCTCATCTCAATGTGTCTCCCTCTATTGTAGCAACACATCATTTCCTTTCCAATCCACCTAAAGAAATGAACTGGAACTTTTTTGCTTCTTGTGCCCTCTTCAGCAGCACAATAACATTTTCAGTGTACCGACATCCATGCTAAACCAAAATGGTTGTTGTCACTTGGCATATTAGAGTCCCATCTTTTTGTATGAGTTTTGCTTGTACTTGTCTTTAGTATTATTGCAGGGATGAATAAATATTTGTATACCAACGGTGGTGCTTTCAAGGAACTACAAGGTTTTATAGTAGGAATGTAGGTTTAATGTTCTTACACTTTAAAGTATGAGTTTATTTGATAAATAAGACACATTCATAGAAAGTGTTTATACAAATTTGCCCAATGGATAATAATCCTGTTCATTATGCAAGAGCATAGCACATTTACCGTATTTTCCGGCGTATAAGTCACAGGTTTTTTGCATAAGATTTTTCAGTCCTGCAACTTGTATACCAAAGCGACTTATATAAATTTTTTTCTATATACATAATGCAATTTTTGACAGATGCTTTAAATTTCTAAGAACTGCAACAGTGAGTCCTTCCGTGCATGCTCACTTCACTCAGCTGATGCAGGCGGAAGAACGCTGGAGAGCTTGTGACTCCGGCCGTGATGGATGGATGACACCGTGCTGCCCAGGCAAAATGAAGCTGTTTTGATAATTAAATAAACGCATAATAAATGTGACAGGTCAGCGGTGACGCATAATAAATGCAACTTATATGCCAAAATGACATATATGTTTTGTTTTCCTCTTCAAGATGCTTTTTTGACTGATGCAATTATGCCAAAAAATATGGTAAATGCTTAACATTCATTGAAGTAATTCAGCTAATTGGCTGTCTTTCATGCCAGAGTTTTGAACGAAAATTAACTTATGTTGAGAAATAAGAGTTACAGCTAACATTGTGAGCAACTCATGCTATTTTGCAATATCAAGTAGTCCGACATGATCTGTTGCGCTTGGAGTTTGAGTTGTGAATGCCTGTCAACAACCAGAACACCAAAAATAGGCAGAATATTCATAAAACTGATTGAGTAAAAGCCACTGAATTGTATCAACTCCAAAAGTTAAATCAGTTGTAGATGCTTATTTTCTTAAAATGTCAATACCACACACACATACACACATACACAAGCAAAAACGTTATTGCTCTTTTATTCGCCTATGGTTGCGGGCAATAACAGTATAACCACCTTGATTGACCACCTTGATTCCAAAACAATACATTTATATAACTGGAAACCAGTTAAGCGGGCTGAAACACCCATGAAACACAACACCATGACCTTTTACTGTACACCTGTGTCATTATTAGCATTTTTGATTTATCACTACAGAGAAGGATGACATTAAATACTGTTGCAACAAAAATAATAAACTGTTACTCCTGTACAGCCAAGACGCCCTTCAGCTAAAAGCAAGGATGAGAAAGAAGTGGACGGGAATCCCTAATTGTGTATTCTAGGCAGGATCAAAATAGCAGGTGAGAAATATAAATAAAAAGAAAGGAGAAGTTCACACATCCCAACTTGTCAGAGGGCAAATGAAGATGCATGGTAGGAAGGCATCAGCTGTGGAAGGCCTGGGTCCAGAGCATTCACTTTTTTAATACCATAAGTTTTTAGTTTTGATGGGCATTGCAGTGCTGATAAGGTAGAAGATACACGTGCGTTGTCATTGTTAGGATGCAGAGCAGTAGTTAATATTGTGCTTAATTTCAAAAACGATTGTTTGCTTTTGCAGGGGTGTATTAGCACATGGCTTATACGCATATTTACCCAGCGCTCACTGTCTACTGAAATCTCCCAAGACACATTTATGTTTTTCCCACATTGACCGTTGCTTGCTTGTAAAACGTCCTACTTTGTTAGTCTCAGACTGTTTTATTGTTGCACAGAATACTCCCCCACTCGGTCTCTCCCTCCCTTTGGTTGAATTAAATTTAGAAAGAAAATCATTTTAATGAGAGCCGGGGGAGTGGGGATAAACGGATGGATTATCTTTAGAAAGAGAAGAGCTCATTAAGGTGAGCTGTAACTCACAGCAATGTTCTGGTAATTACACAAAAGATAATGACAACAAAAGGCTGCAGAAGCACCCACCCATGCCATCCAGTGGAGGGGCCAACATGTTTGTGTGTGCTCATATTTATGTCAAATAAGGAACAATATTCTTAAAATGGAAAAAAAAAGTGTAACAAAATGGTCAACAGATAAAAAAGTAAAATGTTTAAAAATGCCTACATGAGTGCCAAATTTTTGGTTTTCACAAATGCCAGTTTGTTTCCAACACATTTTAAAGTCCCGTAATACAATTCTACAAGAGCTCATGTAACAAATCACATAAATATTACATTTTATATGGACTCCTCCATATGTTTATAGCTTTGATTTGTTTTTTAATCTTTCGTACAAACAATCTTTATGATGTTCTGAAACTCTGCTCCTCACAGATCCACAAATACAAGCAGAGTCTAAACACTGATGTATTACAAAGACATCAGCACTATTGTAGCACAGATGTGTCATCTTAATATGATGAAAACATGTTAACTACAACTTAAAGTGTAGAACATCTGGTTACCCTTTTTCTGATCAGTGAAACAAATTATAAAAAAATTTTGATGCCAGGTGACCTGACTAAATTTTGCAGCCATAACCTGTACTATTTTGATCATATATAAGGTTCTACTCAAAGCCCACATGGCACAATTTTCCATTAGCAATAAGCATGCTTTTATGAATCTCAACATTTCAGAATGGCTGCACAACAGCAAATTCATGCACATATAAAACCTCTTTTTAAAAAATAAATACTATAGTTGGGGTTGGCTTGGGTTTCCTGAGCTATCCCTTAGTTACACTGCTATAGACAGACTGCTGCAGGACCAACTGACCACATCTTTACACTCTGCTGCTGTCTTTCCTTACTCTACTCTTCCTGTATTTGTAATCATTTCTATCCTTAAAATGTCTTTTTGACTTTCTTCCAATAGAAAGTACACCTGGACCTGCCATTCTGTGTTTGCCTGTTTCCCCTTCCTGCCCTCTCAAACCCAACAGGTCAAAGCAGATGGCCGCTCGTCCTGAGCCTGGTTCTGCTGGAGCTTTCTTTCTGTTAAAAGGGAGTTTTTCCTTTCCACTGTTGCCATTGTGCTTGCTTAATGGGAGATGGTAACGGTGAAGATTCAGCACAGTCTGCTGCTTCCTTAGATATATAACTTTTACTAATGGGCTTTTTAATTTATGTGAATTTTTCTGTTCAGTGTCCTGAAATGACTTCTGTTGTGACTTGGTGCTATATTGATAAACTGAACAGAATTGAATTAAAATGTTTAAAGTTTAGGTCAGAACACACTGCACAAAATAATAATAATAATAATACTTTATTCTGGTTGTGAAGTGAGAAGCTGCAAAATAACTCATACTACTGTTTTGCTGGTTTTCTACCTGTTTCTGTTCCTCTCCAAGACTGTCCCACATGGAAGCCACAATCTTGGAGACGTCCCCAAAAGTGGCATTGGGATTTTGGCCCTTGATGGCTGCTTGGGTGTCTCTGAAGAAGAGCGCATATGCCGACACAGGCTTCTGTGGCTCATTGGGGTCCTTCTTCTTTTTCTTCTTTTGAGGTTTGGGTTTGGGCTTCATCATTTCTGCAGAGGGTCGTTTCTCGCTGCTTATCTGAAGGCAGGAATAACAGAAACAGAAACAAGGTGAAGCAAAGGAACTGCTGATCAAATTAAATTGCATTGATGCTTTGACATTACAAAAGCAAACTTTTCTGTTTTGTTACAAACATTTGTTACATACAGTTTTGAATTGTCACATAGAGTTTTGAGCAGTGAAAATTATAAAGGTTTTGAGACCTTGGCCTAAATTTTAGAGTTACCAATTAACGTAACGTGCATGTTTTTGGTCTATGGGCTGAAACTGCAGTGCCAGGATATTTCTATTGGAAACCTCCCAAAAATTGTAAAAACCCACATAAACATTGGCAAACACATTTCAACTTAAATGTCAGAGCAAAGGCTAAGAAGATCAAAGTTACCGGTAGTTAAATTCACTTTGAGGTTAAAGCAGCTGTCTTTGAGACAAATCTAATTAACTTGGATTGGAAAGGGGCCTCCAAGTCTCATTTTATGATGATTTGATATTTTCTTAAGTGGTTTTTAATGAAAAACAAATTAAATACATCATTTTTATTATGTGTACTCTGAGTTTTTCCAGTAACATTACGTTGCAATCTCCGGTGCTTTTTCTGACTGCGTAATTCTGTGTGAAGTACTCAATCCAATACACATGAATACATTTCCATTTTCAGGTGGGGCTTTGACTGGGAGTCAAATCCAGGTCACCTGATTCTGGTTGTGACTCTTTATGGAAATTGGCTTCTTTGCTCTGGAGAGAACATGTCAAGCACAGGACAAAGAGAGAGAATCAGTGAGAAGAAAACAAAGTGACGCCTTGATCTCGTTCTTAGTGTCAGCAGAACACGAGTTAACCTGATTTACTTGGTGCCACAAAGGCAGAAAAAAATGTGATGTGTTTTCATCATATTCAATTCATATTTTAAAAAATGGAATGACCTGCTGAACTTATACAGACATTGTAGTCTATGTTTATGTCACTATTTTTATTTGACTCCATTTTTTTTCAAGGTTAATGACAAAGTTAAAGGTCCAAACTGCCTTTTGTTAATTTTATTATTTTGTTCTTATAAAAGACACCATTTACATGAAGTCCCTGATTATTTCATCATGTAAAAGCTCAGAAAATGTAAATATATTTAAGAGTTTCTTTCTGTTATTAACAAATCCAGCATTAAAGCTCAGCAGAGAGAAGAAAATCATAGAAAACATCTGTCTGCATCAAACAAGAACTAGACATTCAAGATTAAACTACATGTTTTCCTCTTACACTGTCAAATGGAAAACAACAAAAGGAGCTACTGTAAAAAGTGCATGTGTATGGTAAAGCATTTACCAAACTGTATTCCACTGCATGAAATGAACTAATCTAAATTCAAGGTCCAGGAGCACATTTAGCAACTACAGAAAAACTTCTAAATTGCTTTTGAGGTGTGCAGAAATTAATGAATGTTTTCTTTCTGGGTTATGCAAAAAGCACTGCTTGTCTTTTCACAGATTTCAGGTAATGTTCATTTGGTGTGTTTGTGTGCAAGAGGGTGTGTAAAAATGTGTGGTTTCATTAAAAAATAATCACCCCTCACTTTTAAGCAATGAGGCAGAAGACAGGCGTTTGAAACAACATCTGTTCGACTGAGCCTTTGAAGTGAAAATAGAATAAACTGATGACGAAGCTAATGAAATGACAGAAGAAGAATGAACAAAGAAAGAAGGCTAAATCATCTCCAGGAAATTTCACATGTATTCATACGGAGGGAAAAGTAATGACATACAAGAGCTCAAAGCAGAATGCAATCAACCAGGAGAGGAAGGAGCATATCTTTCATTTTTAAAATGTGTTTCTTCCACCGTTACTGTGTTTGTGAGCTCCAGCATATGAAAGACAGGCATGAAATTCCAGTCAATCTGGAAAGAACCTGGTTGATAAAATGTTTTAAAAGGCTCATTATAATACAGTACAGTAGTCCCTCGTTTATCGCGGGGGCTTCCGTTCTCAGCCGACCCGCGATAAGTGAAAAAACACGTAGTAAGGATAGTACTGTACTATCTGCCGTACACGTCGCACCACTGTATACAGTAAGTCGCATCAGTCCAAAAATGTCTAATAAAGTGGAAAAAACATTAATATGTCATTTTGCCGTATTACTCGCATCTATTGTGTGTCACCGCTGATGCATCACAATTTGTTATGCCTCACCACTGACCACCTGGAAATGTGGGCCGGTGTTGTGCCAAATCTGCCTAATGGCAGCCCCCCGGGAGCGTGCACGGGAGGACTTAAAACCAATTATTTGTTTGCTCGGAATTATAGCAAAAGTGCATCTCAGTTGAACTTTTCCTTAATAAATGCACTATGATGGTCAAATCAGCTGCATCTTAAAAATCGATTAGCAGCTCCAGGAGCGCACAGAGGGAGGACTCGCTGTGGATTTCTTCAAAATTTAACAAGCTAACCACTTAAAAACAATTATTTGTTTGCTCGACACTATAGTAAAGGTGTGTCTCAGTTGAACTTTTCCTTAATAAAAGCACTTTAATGGTCCAATCAGCTGCATTTCGCCTGAACGGCGCAGTGAAATGCAGCTGATATGAAGTTTGCTCCAGGAGTTCCGGGGCGAGACGAAGGTGGCCTCTTTGGCAAGCCAAGCGTCTCATTAATAGTAACTTTTACCTATTAATGAGACACTTGGCTTGCCATATTATTTGAGGGCCCTCTAGCGGCTAAAAATGGTAGTGTTTAATATTTTCCATGTCAGAATGAATGAAATCGTCAGATCTCAGCCAAAAATTGGGTTATAAATATGGGGAAAAACATAAATATGTCAATTCGCATTATAAGTCACAGGGCATGCAAATTTATGCAAAAAGGTGTGACTTATACGGCGAACAGTACAGTAGTACAAGTAAGATATATATATATATATATATATATATATATACTAAAATAACTGTGACCATGACTATGGCTTGAAAACATTTAGACACGATATATGTAGCATTAGCATTGTTTAAGCATGGGGTGTCCTCTAGATCCTGTATCCTGAAGCAGTCTTGAGTGTGAGAGTATAGAGCATGGCAAGGTGCAGGAGCGGCACGTGCTAAAAGCAACGTCATGATTGCCTTCACACAGAAGAAGGTTTTTTAAATTTGCCGTGATCCAGCCAGGTTCTACTAAGTCCTATAGGTCAAGGAGAGAGAAACAAAGTCATTGTCCAGTGTGAGAAAAATTATGTTCCATGACCAAATTGTCTTCGTGACCCCATACACAACTAAAGCAACATTGGCCCAACAGCACAACAGTGAAAAACTTAGATTTGAACAATGTAAATTAGGATATTTTATGAGCTTAAGATTTCTTTAAAGAATGGATGATGGTGCTGCAATCAGAATGGTGTCAATTGTATTTTGTTGTATTGTTTTAATGAAGAGACAATAAAGCATAATCTAATCTAATATAATCAAAATAGATTTTTAAAAATAAAAAATTATATTTTACTCACTCTAACCAAGTAGTTTTGTTTTATAAACCCAACCAAATTGTGAGCCAGACATCGACCAGTCCCAAATGCAAAGTGTTCACATGTATACAGTTCGTCTTCTTGGTTAAAGTCTTGAAAACATTTCTGCCAAAATCCCCAATCTCCCCATTTTAAACCACATTTCTCAGTCATCTATATAATATTTACACTTCACTGGATACGTTAAAACAAATAAGCTACTTAAATAATTGTACTCGCTGGCCAGCTACAACGTAGACTCATAAAAATGTGTTAAAAATATAATTTTTTTTAAATAATCTGCACTGTAGCTCAACAAATAAACAGCGTCTGTCTGTTGCCAGGTAAGACCAAAACACTCTACAGAGCAGAAAGGTCTCTATATAGTTTGTCCACAGGTTTCTAATTTAGCAAAAAAAAAAAAATTTGAACTACAGTGTCAGCCTTCGCTTGCTCATCCCATCAGCGTTTCTGTTGTCTGAGAGAGAAAGAGATGGAAGGAATGGTAAGTGAAGAGAGGGAGATATGGGGTGTAGGAGATGAAGGAGGGGGGTAGCAGTAATTCTGAATGGACAGCACTGCACTGGCAAGACAAGATTAGAATTGACAGCCTGATAACTGCATCACTATCAAAACAGCAAAGGGGAAAGAGAGAAATAGAGCGAAGGAGGTGAAAGCAACTGAGAGAGGAGTGAAAAAAGCGAGATGAAACGAAGAAGAGACAGAGTTAATGTAAAGAAGACAGAGCTGGAGAAAGAGTTGATTTAAAAAGAAGAGGGCAGATAACAACAACGGGACTGATGCAGACGTGAAGAGCAGCAGAGAGGTTAAGAGAAATAAAAACTGCACAATAAAAGCAGGTAATAATAGTTTGAGAGAGAATAAAATTGTTTGTTCAATAACAATGTTTTTTATTATATGCATCATCACCATCATCATTACTGATAAGCAATGTGAGGAGTGCTTTGTGGCGTATTGATTTCAACAGGCCATAAAAAGCAGGAGCTGCTCTGGTGTGATGCACAGAGATGTTTCTTTACAAGCAAAACATGATGCAGAAACTCTGCACACTACATCAAAACTGCATGCATCTACTTTATCCTGCACACAGTTCTTGGAATTTCAATTTCCCCAAAATATGTCAAATGTAGAATTAACACAGGCGTAGACAGAAAGCAGTGGCAGAACGTCCTTGATAAATTTATGTTTTCCATGCAGATGTCTGAATGTGACAAGCAAAAACCAAAAGAACTGTGACATGTTTATGAACTTCCATCCATACATCCATTCATCAGGGTCACTGGTGACCATGTCCAGCTATCACTGTGTGAAAGGCAGGGGACACCCTGGACTAGTCTCCAGTCCATCACAGGGACACAGAGACAAACAACCATTGACACTGGTGAAGTCCTTTGGACGAAGGACAAAATGTCTCAGCAAAAAAAAAAGAGGAGAGAAACCATCCAGATGACCTGACTGAACATTGTTGGATTTTTACCCTGGATTATTGAGCATGAACTTTGCTGTTTTGAACCAT